TATTGTTTTGAACGATACTGTTTCTTATTTTCAGTGCATGTTTACTTTAACCTACACATATATTAAATGTAGGCCCTTTATCAGGACAATCCCAGTTGGGAAGACAGAGAAAATTTAAAGGGATTTTCGTCCCCAACCCTTCGGGGAAGCATACCTTACGGCCCCGGTGACACGCCTACCCAACTTTCGGATATCGAGTGTATGCAAATCACCATATCTAATCAGTGGTTTAGAATGTTTATGAACAGTTATGTTGCTACCATTAGTTGTATTAGTTAAGAGGATGTTTTCTGTTCAGATCGGATAACCCTTTCCCTGAACGCATGCACCGAAATGCGACGATGAGTGAATGCGAATATTCGAATATGAACAGTTTTGCACCGAATCCTATCAATATTGCAAGCCCTAATGCAAACTCATTATATTGATGCAGTCGTCATTTCCCTGTTTCAATACGCCCAATATTGCGCCAAATTAATGTTGACATAATATCGATCACACATAAAATCGGATGCACGATAACAAAGAGATTGAATTTCCAATATAACACAAGCGTGTTTGATTTGTGATCAGTCACCGAGTTGGAGAAAGAGGCAGAGAAAGTGAACGTTGATGCATTAGTGCCATTAGTGTTTGATCTTATTGCCTTCGGGCAGCATTGAGGATATCATGTGCGATTGCAAAATCACATGTGCAATGTTTTTTCACTAAGGTTGTTGTCTAAAATGTGTGGCAGCAATTGCTATTATTCAACTGCTACTGCTCGCAGTACTTCTTGCTTTTAAATACAGGTGTGGCTCTTACAAGGTCACCCAGAATGCTTTGTTGTGTTTGATTACAAGTTTCCTCCTTATGTAATGGTCGTCAAAAAAAATTCGAGTAATTTATGAGTTTCGTTTGCGCATCGAACAGTGTCAGTATGTAATGAACACAATTTCTCGCTTTCGAAGAAGAAATCAAGTAGCAAGTATACCAAGTAGCGCGTTGATTGATAAAGTTTTAAAAAAGCCAGTGGACGAGTTAAGGTAAATACTTGCATATTTCAGAGTTCAAGGAGGCGTTCTCATTGTTCGACAAGGATGGTGATGGTACCATCACCACCAAGGAATTGGGAACAGTCATGAGGTCACTAGGTCAAAACCCTACCGAGGCTGAATTGCAAGATATGATTAATGAAGTCGACGCTGACGGTAAGCCGTAAGCTTGTGTGTTCGGGTCACTTTCGTTAGTATCCTCAATTTTTTTTCAGGAAACGGAACCATTGACTTCCCCGAATTTCTCACTATGATGGCGAGGAAAATGAAGGACACTGATAGCGAGGAGGAAATCCGTGAAGCGTTTAGGGTAGGTTCTCTTTCAATGGTATCATCATGATCTGTGGGAACGTACACTGCTGAATATCCTTCAAGAATCCACTTATGCGGTTCCTATGGGGTGGTTTCGTGAATGTATGGCCACCCCCAGGTTGGCTTGTTGTCAATTTCCCATTCCTCTTGGCATAATCTGCTGCCCTTGATATTTGTCCTAGCCGAAGGCGGCCCCAATTGATTATATACCTTCTTGTTCTGAAACCACTGTCCTGAAGTTGTCACAATTTTTCTTAACACTAATAGCCATCGCAGTGCCCAACTACCACACCAATATAATTAACCACTTGACCGACAACATGACGCGCATGCGCGTCAGAATTTTACCCGATTCCGGCTAGTTTTTATGGTTTATTTGGCCTTTTTCATATTTCAAAACTGTGTGCATGCGTCATCTTATCCGAAAAACTGTGAGTCAATTACCAGTAGTGGAATTATTGAAGAAGTTATGACGATTGTGAAAAAAATAAACAAAAATGTTGCCAAGGTACGCGCATAAGGCTGTCGCAACAGTGTAATCAGCGCAGCACATTCTCAAATGTATATACTAAAAGCTCGGAGGCTGTGAGCTAAAACCCCATTGTATATTTTCGCTAAAACGCTTTCGCGTTACTGAAATGACTCTGACAAGTGTCATTGGTATGAAATGTAAGCTGTTGTGAAAGGTTATTCTTCCGCAGTTTCATTTCAAAATTTCTTGGGTACATTTCATCGTTGGCCGTCATTAATGCCTTAAAGTTTAATTGAGAGAGTATCACAGCGTCTGCAGTAAATTTAGTGCATTTCTTGGGTAAAAGTCCATCCAATTGTGGCATGGGAGACCGGAAGACTGTCCACGGCATTCGGCTGACCAAGAGCTAGTATATAAAACAGATAGTCCATGGCTTGGACCAGGCGCGATGAATGTGTGATGGGAAGCAAGTACTAATTGCGTTGGGCAATTTATTTCTCCGACGGCGATGGAGCCTCGCCGTTCTCATTTGCTGAAAATGTGCCACCAGATCGATATTTCAAAATACGTGCTTTGAAGCGTTTCTGTTTAACAGTCTTTCCGGACTTTTGCTAACTTCCATCAGGGGAGGTTCTTGGAATGTGGTGGGATTATTCGCGAAAAATAACTTCCTATTTAATTGCCATAGAGTGTCCCTTGTGGGTTCGCAAAGTCTTCTCACAGTTATCAGTCGCTCACGCATTGGGTTTCATTTTTTTGTTTTTTCTTTTGCTCACTTTTTTCAGTGGGTAAATCTTGGGGTCTGCTTTGTATGCGGTCAAACCAGTTTTTTATTTTAAATTCTTCGTTAGTTTTCAGTGGTTCAAATGGATTCTCTGTATATGAGAATTCAGTCTCGCACATCATGCTTGAAAATGGTGGTCGGCTTTTTTTTGGAATAGATTTGATGAGTAATTAGCAACGAGAGTTCTCGTAGAAATCGTTGCTAAACCTCATTCGACGAGCTACAGCGTTTTAGAAACATAATCACCTTCTTCTACTGTTATCATCATTATTCACCCTTTCTTTTTGGCCACAGGAAATCTAATATAAAGGAGCTGCTGCATACTAAAGATGAAAAGGGGATAAGCATATGACAAAGGAATTAATCCTTATCTACATCAGTCTCAATTTACATATAAAGTATCGCGGTTAGGAATAAATGTGTGTTTTCACTCATTCTCAAGGCCAATTTGTTAGTGTTGGTTTACTCCGCTTTTAGTGAAAGAAAGCTTGATGATTCAATAAAGTTGACAGTGTTGCACTGTTTTAACCCTCATCCTGAGTGACGTATTATAGGTGTTCGACAAGGACGGCAACGGCTTTATTTCGGCGGCCGAATTGCGTCATGTGATGACGAACCTTGGCGAGAAGCTCACTGACGAGGAGGTCGACGAGATGATTCGCGAAGCGGATATCGATGGAGATGGACAAGTGAACTATGAAGGTGTGTTTTCTTACACGTATGTATGAGCTTACAATAGCGGATATTAACTAGTATTTTATAATCAATTCGAACGTCTTTTGTTCCTCACAAATTTACTTCGATGAACTCGTAATGGTTCTGCGTCATGACGAGAACTTTTCGCATCACGGGGCTCCAACTACCTCAGCCTTTTACT